AAATTCTCATTTTGACATAGTTTTAATGGTAAATTAGTAATACAGTAATACCCATCTTATCTTATATTTTTAATTAACAAATGAACTACCTAAAAACCCCTTACTTTGATTTATTTTTAATGGCAAATTAGTAATACATTAATACTCATCATATCTTATATTTTTAATCAATAACTAATATTTAATTAAATAAATATAGATACACGAACAAAACATTATAGATCTCCTAAAAATCAACCTCAATATTCTCATACCATTATTCCTCACGATTTTGCTTCTTTCACATATCAGTCAAACTGCTTTCCTTCATATCTCCCAAAATTCAACTCAAACGACAAAGCTTTGAAAGGATATAAAATTGATGTTTTGAAAAAAACTTCATTATTTTTAATATAATTTTAATGTAAAATCGTAATCATATTTTATAATTTTTATATATAATTTTGTTTAAAAGAAAATTGATCCAATAAAAATAGCATAATAAATACTTATAATGAATCCAAATATTTTTAACTATTTATTTACAATTTTAACAAACGATAAATCTTGGTAAAAAAAGACAACCTAATTGAGGGGTAACTTGCATATAATAAATAATTCTAAAGATACATACTTAACATTAATTAAAAGAAGATACCTCAAATTTTACTGAAATCATGCATTGTGAAATATATACATAATCTAACAAACTAGAAAAGAGAATAATTGATTTAACTACTTCATTATTTAAAAAAAATATAATCTTTTATTTAGAACTAATATAGAAATTGAACCTTAGTTTTATTGGATTGGTTTTTTATCCCACAAAAATCGTCACTTATTTGTTTGTTTCTTTGTTTTTTCCAACTTTGGTCACAAAGTCAATAATCTTTAGATTTTTAAATGATTTTATGATTTTATCAAATGACATTTTAAAGTTTATTTGACCGGAAGTATCCGATCAAATAAGATAATTGTTTCAGTAATATTTATTTAATTTTGTATGTTTATTAATAACTTGTTGATAAACGAAATTGTATCAACGAAAAAGTACACCCCTATTCCATGAATAATCGGTGTAGAATCGACTATGTATTTTTATTGATTTTTGAGAGAGAAATGTTATTCTCTTTTTCTTGATTTTTGGTTGGAGAAAGACAATGAATCGTGTCTCCCCTTTTTCTCTCTCCTCTCACCATTATATATACATGGCTCTTTTACACGTGGCTTATTAAAAAATAGATAAAAAGAAGACATTAGTATTTAATGTGAGAAGACATCGTGGGGCCCGATCGTGACACTTGACAGCTTCGATTGACGTCTACTTTATCGGCAATTATTGTGTCTGTCGGACTCGGATCTTCTCGATATTCGGGTCGGGCTGATGATATCAATTCTGCCACGGCTCGAGTGTGGATGATCTGGGCACTTGGGAACTCGGTCGATACTAAATAATCAGCTCAGAGTACCGGTTATATTTATATTTATTTAATATATATATCCACGTGTAGCATATTTATTAATCGATGCCAAATTGAGTATCAACATAACTCTAAGTAAAAAACTTGAAATCGATATTGTTTGTTTTCATAACAACCCCATAATATAGAAACATTGTTTTTCAAATTAACATATAAAAAGAATAAATTGTGTCTGAGAGATTAATTGTTGAATGATTATTTTGCAACCTAAACTTCTAACCTCTTGAAATTTTTTGGTTAATCAAGTGTTTTATAATTCTAAAAAATTATATCATGAATAAAAGTGTAGATCTACGTAGATTACTCTTAATTAAAAAAAAAAGCACCTAAATTTACAAATGTAAAAAGTTGAAATATATTTCAACCGTTGACACTTTAGGCGAAAAAATATTAACTGTACTAAAAAGAATTGGCATTAAAAAATATTTACAACCCAAAACCTGGCCTAAGCAATTGCCAATTGGTCAACGGGCCAACACGGCCAGTAGTAATTAGTTATTAGTTGGTCGTGTTTCATATTTATAATTTTATTATTGACACTAGTGAGAATCATATTGGTTAGGAATGCCAAAATACAAAATTTAGCTTTTATATATTTTCAAATGTTTATGCAATGATCAATCAGTATAACATAACAGTGTATATTGACCCCTTCCCTTTTTTAAATACTTGAACCTAGCATAAAAGAATGTTAGAGAAAGGTGATGGAGGCTTAAAAAAATGATTTTTTACGATGTTACATATGTTTCTAATAATTATAAAAGACTTTTCAAAGAAAATATTATTTTTTGTAGCTCAAGTTCACGTACATTGAATCAGTGCATTTTGTTACATTTTATTGAATATGATATGATAGGCTGTCGTGGAGTGACTAGCCGCCGCCCAATGTAGATTTTGAAATTTAAACTGATTTTAAAGTGCATGTTGAATTTAAATTGTTTGTGTCACTGTGAAAATAAAATAAAATATGATTGATATTTATTTTTATTTATCAAAATAAGTTGTATGTCACCTATGTTTCATCTAACACTTACAAATTTTTAGAAATTCTGTAATTATATATAGATGTTTTTTTTTTGTTCAAAACATCTTGTGTGCTTTTGTGTAGATTTCTTTATTATTAATTTGTTTTCCATATGTCTTGATTATTAAATGTCAATTAGGTATATCAAATTGCAACCGATGCATGGTGCAAACAGAGTTCCTAATGAACTAGGATTTAAGATATTATATATATATATATATATATATATATATATATTATTTAAAGAATCTGCCAAGTCAAACAACAATGAAAACAAACCCAAACCATATTGAATATATTTCTATAAAATGGCGTTGAAACTAAGGGGTAGTTTCACATATATCGTAATTTTATGCGGTAGAATTTTATGCTGTTAAATATGACTTAAATAAAAAGTACTAATTACTTACCAAATGACTTAGGCTTTGATTGCTATAAATACATATAATTAATATTTTTAACTATTTTTTATAAATCTTTTATTCTCTTCTTTAATAAATATATACACATTGTTTGTCTTGTATATTTAATTATTTTGTTGTGTAGTACACGGGATATAGTAGTAGTTAAGGGAAATGCTACATTGTCAACTTAGTACACAATTAGGTTGACAACACAAGTGGAAATATCCACTTGTGTATTTATTTTTTTTTATTTTTTTTTTAGATATTTTCACTTGTATTGTCAATGTATCATTTTTCAGTAGTAGTTAAATGTACAATCACGTGAAACTACTTAAGGGAAAAAAAATGTAAAATCATGTGACCTTCTTTTGATCAGTTCATTTCTACTTAAGAACCACATAAATTATGTAATAATTTTAAAATAAGGTTATGGGATATGTTAAAAAAGTATATATATTGTGGGAAATTACAACCTTTATATATGTTAAAAAAGTATATATATTGTGGGAAATTACAACCTTTATTTTTTAAATCATCAAATCCACGTATCTCAGTGTATGCACGTGCTCACTTTGAAACTGGTTAGGTGGTGTGAACTAGACTATATTATATTTTTCCACAT